CATGAGATGAATAGGGCCCTGACTATTGGGGTGTTTATAGTTGGGGCATTGGATAAGTAGTAGAAAAATAAAATTGCAGTGTAGAGTACTTCCCTTCCTTTTTTTAAAAATTAAGTTTATTAGTACATTTGAGGTATACATAACGATTACATTCATCATAGAGAATTTCCACCTATATGTGATATAACTCGATTCTTTTTCTTCCCAGTTCCCTTCCCTTCCCTTCAACCCCTCTAATTCTTAATTACAGACTCAAAAAGGGTTATAAGTAAATGCCAAAAGATGCTTGCTGGCTGATGGAATAAAAATGTTGTGACTGAAAAAGCATTTTTGGTGTTGCCTACCAAACATTTTAGTGGTATTTCAGGTCTTGCAGAGTCTCAGGGTAAATTCAGATGAACACACGGAGACACTCAATGCATATGAGATTCAACTTTTAGGTCTTGGAGTATAGTAAACACATGAAAACAAAAAGCCATTAAAAGCGGCCCTCGTTTTAGAAGTCCTTGATGGACTAGAGGAAGGAGGAAGGCATATTTTGGGCAGCATAGGATGACTGGAGGCAGCCAGGCAGACTCCTGATAAGTTAGGGAGGGTCAGAGATCCCTCAGGGTTATCCCTCAGGCAGATTGTTCAGGAGGTCAAATTGAAGATTCCCAATCCACCCAGTGTTGTTCTTCTGATGGAAGAGCTGCTGATTTCTTAAAAGAAAGGAAGCCAACCTCTGAAGATGAGGGTGGGGAGCACATTAGTTTTCTTGGAAGAATCTGAGCTCTGCTGAGCTGCTGTGAGATTCCTGGGAGGCCACTGCTCAAAGGCAGGCTGTTCCTGAAAACCCCGGAGTCGTATGCCTTTTAGAGCCCTGGGCGCTGGAGGTTACTGTGGACCAAGCTCTACCTGAGCTGGCTCTTGCTTCTACTTCCTTCAGGATGAAACCCTTCCTTGAGACTGCTGCGTTAAGCAGAGACCTCAGAGTGGCTCTGCACTCTGACAGGAGCCATGGGAATGGTTTTCTGGGGAAAGCCTGGCTAAGGTGAGTCAGAAAGGCCTAGTGGCCCAGGCTCTCCGGGATGCATATGGAAGTCACCAGTAGGGGGCAGTGCAGCATGCACTTCATCTTCTGTCTGCGCCCCGGGTTTGGGGGAGGTTGTTAAGACTCCTCACCACTTGGGTGGCCCAGGGAGCTAGGAACCTGAACTCAGGTGTGTTTGTCTTCTCCAGCTTTCTGGCTATTGTTTCACTTGTATGGGGTGTCCGTTAACCTTTCTCTCCTTCCCTCCCTCCTTCCTTCCTTCTTTCCTTTTTTCCCATCAATTAAAAAAATTCACAAAGTATAACAACGTAATTCTTTATGAACTTACCTATATTCAGAACCAATGCTTAAATATTTTGTCTCTTCCCTTGAAAATCTTATGTCATTTAATAAAAGAACTAGGCTAGGAGTTTAATTAAGTTAATCACTTAATAGTTCAAGTTTCTTTATCCCAGACCTCTTTTTTCCCAAGATAATCCTCCTTGCAATCATCTTTTTATACTTTACATGTACCCTGCAAAAATGCTGCCATATTGTTTTTGTGTATTTTTAAGTGTTTTAACACAAATTATTTTATATTATTGTATATATCAGTATGGAATCTTGCTTATTTTCTCACATAGCAGGGAGATCTCTCTGCTCAAATATATTTAATTCAATTTAATTTATGTATTTAACACACTTTATTTTTTAAAAGTTTTTGTTACTGTGATGGATGGACACGGGATATTTCTGGCTTTCAACCCTATCACAGGGAAAACTGTAATATTCAGATGACCGCATTACAGTGAATATTCTTGTGTCTTTCCCCTTGCATCTATGTGTGAGTTTCTCTTGGGTGGATGCATAGAGATAGACTTGCTGTGCTGCACAGGGTGCTGATTTATAATTATGCCAGATACTGACAAAATGCTCTTCAAAGTGGTAACACCAGTTTATATTCTCTCCGACAATGTAAGGAAAAACCCACGTCCTTAGAAATGCTTGGTGTCAGATGTTATACATTTTGTCACTCCAGTGGAGGAGGAACGAATGACATTGTTTTAATTTGCATTTCAGATTCTTTATGAAAGGAGCAGGTTTTCATGTGTTTCTTGGCAGGGAGGTTTTCCCTCTGTGAATTGCTGGATATTAGCTTCACTGGCTTCCTGTCTAGATCTGTGATTCCTCCCTTAGTGGTAGCTAAGGATAAATTTGCAAGGGGTAGATTTCCTGGTGGGTTAGCTCAAGGAACTGCATGGTGGACATCTCTATGGGGTAGCTTAGGAGAGGCATCCTTGGATTCTACTGTTGGAGAAACCCTTCCCAACCTAAGAATCCAGTCCTTGTCTGGGTGTTTCTTTCTATTTGGACCAGCGAAAGGTTCATCTAGGGCATTCTCTTTCTGCTGTGGAGGAGAATTCTCTGTGACCATTTTTCATAGCTTCACATGGTTCTTCAGTAAAATATACTGTCTGATTTCAGAGCCAAGAGCAGTTGTGCTTTGCTTTGCTTAATGTCTCTCTGGCTTATTTTCATCTCATAAATATTGTAAACTTATCACTGACCAAACATATTCTACATTTTACTTGGATATTGCTGACCATCAAGCTTAAAATTAAATATTTACCCTTTCCTAACAAGTACATATGTTTTAAAACCCAATTCCTGGCCCCTTTGATGTCCCTACTTTGACTTTTACTCTGTGTCTATTTGTTAGCTCATTGAATTTTGTTCAGTGCAACCTAAAAGTTAGTAAGTTAAATGTGTCGTTAAAATAAAATAGAAGTAAAATAAAGGCCATAAACAACTAAAAGAATAACGTTTGTGCTGTAAGTGTGGCTCAGGTACCTACTGAGCACCAGGCAGTTGCTCTAGACTCCGAGTCTACAGACCAGCGCAGATAGCAGGAGATGCAGATGTCTCAGGTGATTTCAGAGCAGGGACAGGCGCCACGCTCAGGAGGAGAAGACGGGCTTATCAGGATGTCCTGAAGGTGATTCCAAAGGCAACTGTCCATGTTTTCTACCTTTTCAGCTGCCAGTAGTATGAGAAAAGTGGTGAAAGTATTCAGGACTCTCAGGAATGCAGTTCTTATTGTGAGATAATTTGGAAGAGTGAGGCCACTGAGGTCCCTACTGGAAACACTAGTGCAATGGAAGTCTTGGAAAACAGTCTCTAAAGTGTGATGATTTGGAAACATTTCATGAAAGCTTGAAAATTGAACATTTAGTGCAAGGTATAAAATATTTCCCTCTGTGTCTGGTGAGGGGAGAGTAGGGAATTGTCTGTTATTAATGTTACTGGCTTTCTTCTGCATGCGGCTAAAGAGCGAGGCCCCAGGAGAACCAAGGTCTTTGGGAGGTAGTTGCCCTCCGTTCTTGGAGGCTGCTTTTTTATGTAAAAGGGGACAGTTTGTGTGCGTCCTTTTAAATTTTTTTCTCTTTGGTGTAATTTGTACCTTGAGAGAATTTACCTATCTTTCTTTTCCTTTTTTTAAATTTGCCTGAATCCTTGTTGTCCATTTTATTATCATTTTATTTCTTCCACTGGTTCGGAGGGACCTAGAGATGCTGTGTGCTCTCTCATTTAATATTTTTTCTCTTTCAACTTGTTATTAACAGCAGGGCTACTTATTTGTTTTCAATGTCTTGATTGAGATAGATTGCTTAACTATTTCTCAAAAAGGAAAAGGGTAAATTCATTCTAGCGTAACTTTCTATAATTCCCTTGTAATTCCAAGGCTGTTTGTTTGCTCATCCATCCATCTATCCGTCCATCCAACCACCCATCCATCTATTCACTGTCTGTCCATTGAGACATCCATTCAGTTGTCTATCCTTTGAGTGTCTATCTTGTGCAAGGGAAAGAGTTAAGTGGTATGGCATTAGGAGGTATAATGCAGTTCTATCTTCATGGAAATTGTGGTCTAAGAAAATTCGAAAAGATAGATACTTTAACAAATGGCAGAGTATAGGAAATTCTAGGGTGGTAGTTTAGCTACTTATTTATACTACTAAGGAATTTGTTGATTGTGAGTGACAGAATAGAGGTTATAAATCAGTTAGTGATACGTAGCTTCAGAGATGGCTGGATCCAAAGGCTCAAGTGGTAGTTTCTTCATATCTCCTTGACTCTCTTTCTTTGTGTATGCTGACCTCATTCTTGGACAGTCTCTTTCCTTATGGCAGAAGATTTCCCCTCGGGAACCCTGGGCCTGTGCCATGCTTGGGCCCAGCATGGGCCCCTTATTCAAGCTTAGGAAAGATTCTCATTGGTTGAGTTGAGATTACCTGCACCTCTCTGAGCCAGTCGTCATGGTCCAAGTTAGAGTTCTCTGTTTGGGCAGAGCTAGTAATCGCTTCCATGTTTGAGGGTTTGAGGAGAGGGGAGGAGATGTGATTCCTACAGAGAATACACTAGAGACATGTGAGGCTTGTGAAAAGTGATTCCTCAGAGGAAAAATTAGAATTGTCACTGAAAAAAGCAGAAAAAGGAGATACTGGGGTGCGAAGAGCAAGAGGGGAGGGATGGGATGGGAAATGCATTTCTTTGTTTCAAGATGCAGAAGGAGGAAGTGACTGTGTCTCTTGGAAGGGAGCTGAGATGCGGCTCCCCCAGCAGTGTGAGCACTCCAGAGCCCTGTGGCTGTCCCCGTAAGGGTGGGACATGTTGGGGAGGCAGTCGATGTACCTCCAGGGTCCACTCACCTTCACACACTGGTGAAATCCTGAAAGGAAGGAAAACTGCAATTGCCTGGTGAAAGAGTGATACAAGATGAGGGAAAATACGAAACTTGTGAAGTGACATTGAGCACGAAACCTGGTCTCTCGTGGTTTGCTCTCAGTCATACATCATTTTATTCTCCTTATTGTGTGAAAGAAATGACCAGGCTGGAGTGGATGCAGAGTTTGGGTGGAGGTTTCCATTCTTCCATGTTATTGCCTACATCCGGAGTCACTGCTGTTCCTTCTCTGCTTTGTTGCAGTTTCATTGCAAATCAGAAAAGGCTAGAAATCATCAACGAAGATGATGTGGAAGCCTACGTGGGACTGAGAAACCTGTAAGTGCTAGGACCTTGTACATTATCTCAGATTTTTCATGTGCTTTACTGCGGCTGGGCAGGCATTCACTGGTTAGTTCTAATCTGCATGCAATTATGTATTTTCATAGGACCATTGTGGATTCTGGATTAAAATTTGTGGCATATAAAGCATTTCTGAAAAACAGCAACCTGCAACACATGTAAGTAGAAACTGATTGTTTTGCTTACCAAGATCCAATTTATTCAATATTTTCTTCTGTTTATTTTTCTTCTCTTCCAACTTTGAGCCTCCTTTTTTAAAGTTAGTGTAGCTGCAGTAATAGCCTAGAAACATTAGCTTCGATTTTGTTTGATTTCTGAATGGTTTCAGAGGGGTACTTTGAACAGCCTGTTTACTCCCTTTCATCAGTTTCTGGTCTGTTTCCATCTTGGACAGAGCAATAGGCCAATAGCAAGGAGTCTGATGTGAAAACTCTGTCCTTATACTGAGTCCTTGATTTTTTTTTTGCTTGGAATCAAGACATGCTCTTTGGAAGACATCACACTAGCGGAATTGAAAAAAGCTGACTTGGCCTCGGCACTCTGAGGGAACTGAAAAGTACTAATGCTGTTTCCCCCCACAATAGGCTGGCTTTTGAACCTTCATTTTCTCAACCCAATCTGTCATGGGTAGAGAAATATGAAGAAAAATCAATCAGGAGACATGCTAAAGGTTTTGACATTTATTAATAGGAGAAAATGTTTCCTTGGAAGTCATGCTGGTGCTTTGTTGACTGAAGTCAAGTGGAAATATGAAATATTTTGCTGCTAAATCCTCTAAATGATGGCATTTCAGCCAGTAAGGTGTGGCCTTGCAGAGAGGCTTCTTCATTAAGCAGTCACCCAAGTGCGGAGTGGTGACTCCACCTCCTGAGTTTGTAGTGGGAGCTTCTGCTGGAGGACTGTTACCTGCATTCATTTGTTCTTCTTCCATGGAACAAATTCACTTTGCAAAGATGTCTTCCATGTCTCCTAGCCTCTGGCCTCATTATACAGCTCTCACTTGGGTTATCTCACTGGATATATCTATTTTTTGGATGATTGATAGGGATGACCTTTTTTATTCCTACTGCATAAACAGAATAGGTCTGAGGATGTTCTAGGACCTGCCCAGATAGTAAATTATTGCTCAAAGGCTAACCTCTTTGTTCTTACAAGAGCAGAGGAAATAAAATGTGTGCCATTTGTACAATTAGAGAACCGTTCCTGCTTAATAACATTTGTCCTTTCTATTCTTGGGGAGAACAGTTCTTTGCCTGATTTCCATACCAGTTATAAAAGAAATCATTCTCTGGGAGCAGATTGCCTGTATATTCTGTAGAGATGTGTTGATATTATGAAAAGCCTTAATTTCATAAAGCTGATTATCATGTCTTTATATTTTAGGTGGCATCAATAATGAAGTCACTTTAAGAATAGTCTGTACAATTACACTATAAAACACCCTGCACAAACATGATAAAACTCTAAGGAACTTTATTAACACATTTCACTCAAATGCTTTTGGCATCCTCTCTAGTTGGTTTGCCTGTACAAATCTGATGTCTGCGTAGGCCTTGATAGCATAAACAAGGGAGAAGTTTGGATGAAAGGAAAAGGCAGAATGCTCTGCTCCCAGAGAATGATTTCTTTTGTAACTGGCATGGAAATCAGTCAGGGAGCTGTTCTCCCCAAGAATAGAAAGGACAAATTCTGGCATTTTCATTACGGCCAACCTCAGACCCAAACTACTCAGCAACCACACTTTACTGGTGGTTTAATCACATCACTTCTCTTGATGCTGTGACTTGAACAGTGGGCTCTGATTCTCTGTAGTTTTATTAATAGACCCTGTATAATTCTTTTGCATTAATATGTGGTAAAATCATTTAACTATGTTCTAGGTGCAGAGTACAGCTTCACCTAGATAAAGCCAAATATGTACCTATTTCCCAAAGAGTTATCATTTGGAAATAGGAAACTAAGGAGGGGTATATACCTTGTTCAGTTTTCTTCTGAAACAGTAGTTGGGAAGTCAGTCATTGATTAGATGGTGGAATCTCTATTAACTTTCATAGCTCTTGTCAAGTAGTAAGATGAAATGAAAGTAGGTAAGTATTCAGGGAGTCATGAAGTGGTCAGATGCCCCTTTGTGTATTCATTTGGCAAAAGGGGTTCCTATCTGCTAAAATATGGAATTAGGTTGAGGAGTTTGCCCTTGAGAGTGACAGGGAGGTGAAGGAGTCAGGTTGGGTGTTTACCTGTCCATCTCTGCAGATGGCCGAGAACTCTGGGAACCAGCTTGCTCCTTTACTTCTCATCTGTAATCCCCACCTCCATTATTAACACAGTGCGGAGCGAATAACGAATTGTGTTTTTTTTTTTTTTTTGTACCGGGAATCGAACTCATGACCTCAGGCTTGCCAGGCAAGTGCTTATGCCACTGAGCTACATCCCCAGCCCTACAAATTGTGGATTGAAATCTGTTTCTCTCTGCTCCTGAGATACATTGATGATTTCTTGATTTTCCTCACCGTATAAAAACATGTAAAAGACCAGCCCCTTTCATTTCAGGTTTTTGTGAAATGCAAATTGGATCTCCTCACTTCTCTCCCTACCCCGCTGTGCCCTGTCCGTGTCAGCATTGCTTTCTGAGTGTCCAGGGCCCAGTGACCGGTCACTCAGTGTGTTCTTTGTACCTCTAATTTCTGCCCAGACTCTAAGAAGCCAGGGGCTGTGAGAAAAGCCAGGATTAGCATTTTCCTGGGGCTTTGCCGAGGTGCTAATCAAATAGTAAGAGGATTGGTACATTTTTTCCCCCTTCCCTCTTCCTCCTTCTTGGCTTTTGGCCCCAATAATAAGTATGGCTCATAAAACTCATCTTGTTCTTTGGTCCGTGACAACGCTCTGCGCTGTGCTGCTGGCAGCAGGACAGAGACAGCTGCTGCCCACGTGGCCGCAGCTCCCCGGCTGAAGGAGGAGCTGTGCAAGTTTCAGGTTTGCTCTTTCTTCGCTTCCAGTCCCTTCTCTCCCTTTTCTGTTCTACAGAAAGAGCAGGGGTTTATTTCCTTCTTTTCTTTTTGTCAGAAGAATGGGGTTTGGTTTCTGATAGAAATGAAAACATTTGTATTCTAAAGACTACAGGACTTTTCAAGGTAGTGTACCCCAGTGAACTCCATTCCTGTTCGCATTCCAAGAGGCCAGGTTGAGGTTCACAACTTCCCAATGGGTGCTCCTGCCCTGCAGGTGAGCACTTTACCCTGGAGTGAGTTCTGGCAGCGCATGCAAGAGAAAAGGAAATGCCTTCTGTAGGCAGGGTCTGGGCGAGTGAAACCCCGTGTTTTGTTGAATTGTGATGTCCACAGTGGCCTTCTTTACTCAGTGACTAAATTAGCTCGAGCATTAGCACCTTGGTTTCAGCCTCTGTAAGGACGACTGCCAGACACATGAGGACACTTCCACCCATAATGTCCTCCAGCTGACACACAGACTGGCCTCAGGGACGGGGTGGGGTTGTGTCCCCCTCAGATCCTGTTTTATCTGACTCACAGCCTGAACTTGCTTCCCTGGGCAGAAAGATGACACAAAAAAGTTCACGGATTTGTTCTTGTTGGTTAAAGTCTTGGCTGTTTTTGTGACAGCTTTTGTTTGTTTTACATTCATCTTACTTATCAGACACATGTCTAGAGGCCCAAGTATTGGACATACTTTAAATAAATTCAAATAGTAAACAAATTCACAGAATGAATCAACTGGCAAGATTGTGAATGGGAATTTCCCATCTCAAGGTCCCATCGCACTAATCATTGGAAACTCTCATCCATCAAATAAAACCACACATTTGGAGCATGCCAGGAAATTCATTACTATTCTTTTAACCACAAATATGCCATCTTTTCATTGTCATGTGGGTTTGCATCTCAAGATGTTATGTTGCTAGACTAGTTTAGGATAAAATCTAATGTATTTCTTGGTTTTGGATTTTTTCCTACTCTCATCATAAAATTATTAGCTTTTTTAGGTCATGTCCCATCTCACCTGAACTTATCAGTCAGTAAGTGAGTTTTTTCTTATAACGCCGTGTTAAATTCACTGGGCTGTTTAATTTTAAAGCATCTTTTTCCCCTAGTGAGCATATAATTTTAATTTTATTTATTTCACATAGCCTATTAGTTTTTCAAAAGTCAGGATCTCCATGAGGCATATAATTTGACTCTGAATGCACATATGAAAAATAAACATTTGGGGGTGAAAAAAAGATTAAGAACAGATAATATAAAAAGTATATTCCCTCCTTCCTAGTAAGCAAGAACTATGGGAGAGGCAGGCAAAGTCACAAAGCTGTCATTCCAGGGAAAAGGAGGAGAGGGTGGGGTCTAGGTAGGGCATGCACTATGACCAGATGAACTTACATTTTGAAAAAAATTTCTATTTGAATACATTCCTTCTAAAATGTAAACTTTTAAATTCACATATAAATGTTTTTGATTCCTTTCAGCAATCTCACCCGAAATAAACTGACAAGTTTGTCTAGGAAACACTTCCATCACCTTGACTTGTCTGAGCTGTAAGTAATGATTTTGTGTGGCATTTGGGGGAACGTTTTCAAAGAAAGGGATACATAATTATTATTTTTTTACATGCATAAAGTTGCAAGTCTATATCAGAGTTCTCGAGAAATGATTTCTGGGGCTTTGGCCGCTTTTTCTTTCATTCACTCAGGGAAACATGATTCAATAACTTCAAAATAGAAATCTCAGTGGTGATATATCATTTATGATGAATTTAAATGTTGTTTTCACATAAATAATTTATTTTGTAGTGGAGGGAAAAGGATTAAAAAGCAAGGGGATTTGCATTTAAAAGGGCTTTGTATCTCATAGTGTGTCTGTGGTTCCTCTTACATAGAGACCCTAATAAAGTGAACTGGTCAGCAGAGAAATGACAGAGGGAAAAGCTGTCTGGCTTTTGCTCTTCAGTGTCAGCGTGAGCATTGAGAATGTTGGAGAAGAGGTTTCCTCCTCCCTCCTCGTCTTGGTGATTTTCTTCTAGGTCTACCACTGTGTTCAATATTTATCCTTATGTTCTAATTTCCTCTTCTTAACATGGTAGGAAAAACATTGAAATGTGTTGATGACTAACCGTCAGCATTTCCAAGTGTGCTCGGTTTTTGGTGTTACCACGGTGGAGCAAACAGGAACCGGAACTGCTGCCATTTGTGCTGTGAGGGGCTAGAAAGCGCCGGAAGTGGACGTTCTTTGTGCATGCATGGCCTGGGACAGTCAAGGCCTTTCAGTTAGGAAATGGCTTCTGCTTACTGTGTGTTGCCTGATCTTGGGTTTTTTTTTAATGAAAATCCATTCTTATTCACAAGGAAATTGGGCAGAGTGGAAGATGCTGCTGGGGAATAGGCTGGAGTAAGGAACGAATGGTGACAGCCTTGGCGATAGACAGTTATTTGGAATAAATTGAATATAGGGAGATGGAAATACACTCGTGTTTACTTTTTTAAGGTTATTTTAATTAACAAGTAATAATTGTAGGTATTTATGGGATACAGTATAATAGAATATAGACATGAAAAACAAAAGGGAGATCTATAATACAGAGTAAGGCACTCAGTGTTAAAATGTTGCTCACCTCTGTATAATAGTTACTAGGTGGCTTCAAAATTAGAGTTTTATTTCAAATTAATGTCTCAATATTCTCCCTGCAGCATATTTAATCAGTTCACTGAACAAGGGTTGATTTTGTTTTTGTTACGTATCGGAACGACTAGGGCGTGGATCTCTGAGGACAGCAGTTTCTGTGTGGAGGATTTTGTGTTCCAGTAGGAGAGACAGGAACCTAACACAACAGGTGTAATGAGCTGGAATAGTCACTGTGCAAGGAGTGCCCCCAGTGGACTGGGGGAAGGAGCCGGCTGCCTGCCAGGGTTGTGTGGTCATATGAACTTTGCCATTTTCATAATTAAGGCACCCTTTTGCTTCTTACTCTCATCTGCTGATGTAATTACACCCCTCATTTTAGGAAGACTCTAGTTTTCTATGGACTCAGAACTCCAGGAAATATCTTGGATTACTGAGGTTTAAACTGATTGTGGGTCTCTTCGGTATTACGTTGTGTGTCTCATAGCATCAAACCCTGTTTTGGTGTTGGTGGTCAGGCAGACAAGGATTAAACCTATCTACCACAACCACATTTTCCTCAATGAATCTCGCAGAAAAGTCTCTGGGGATTGCTGAGATTCTTAGAACCCAACCAGAAAACCACAGGAGTAAATGGTGTGGCAAGCCCGGGGCCTGTCCTCCAGCACTGTGCTATTGCCAGGCAGTCTGTGGAACTTTAAATGGCCTCATTTAAGGGCTCATTACCATAAATGGGCTTCATCTTAAATAGGCCACTGAGTATTATAAATAAGCATTTAAAGATTTTTTTTCCTGTGGTTTTTATTTTCCTTTTGCTCACTTCTTTGTTCACCCATCGCAGGCCACAGGAGCCCAGACAGCATGGCTGAGGCCCACACTACAGTGGCCTTGGCTCTTTGCAGACCCCCAAGCAGAGGGCTGAGCACTCATTCTGGAGCTCAGCACCTTCCCCTCAGAAACCTGGGCTTGTGCTGTGTATGTGCATGTGTGTGCGCCTGAGAGACAGTGGGGTCTAACGGCTTCCATCTAGCTTGTCCCTCTCCACTTTCTTGCATGAATGAAATGGACTCCGTTTGTATGGTGCATAGAGCCAGGAGAGCCAACCTCTGGTGCCCATACCTCAGTCTTAGATTTCTATTTACAGTCTTATTTTAAACTGAGATACATTATTCCACTCAAGTTTGAACTTTCATACTGACAACACTTAAGTGTGTAACCTGGTCAGAAATAAGGATGCTAGTGTTCCTGAAAATTTACTGTTGGCATCTCCACTTAAGTTGTTTTTAAAAACTGTATAATAGCCATGATAAATTTATGAAGGTGCATTATTGCTCACATGTTATGAGACATTCTTTCCTCTCCTTTATAGTAGCTATTTCTGGTCCTATCGTGGATTTTCTGTTACTCTGCAAGTTTAGCATCACTTTGCCTTCTTTAACTTTGTGTTTGCATATAATGGCAGCTCAGTAATTATGGGATAAGTGAGTGAATAATAGGTGCTGTTGTGCTTTGAAAGTGGGTGTGACTTCAAAGGTTGCTGGCTAGAAAGAATTTATAATGTTGTATTTCATAAACAGCAGTGTAGCTGCGACTACACAGGGAGCCTGATCAGGTTTCGTTTTTGTTCCATGCAGGATCCTGGTGGGGAATCCATTCACATGCTCCTGTGACATTATGTGGATCAAGACTCTCCAAGAGACTAAATCCAGTGCAGAAACTCAGGACTTGTACTGCCTAAACGAAAGCAGCAAGAATATTCCCCTGGCAAACCTGCAGATACCCAATTGTGGTAATTTATTTTGAAATCAATGAGTTCTAGTTGCTATTAATTCTTCTAATTGCCTTGGTGTGGTAGAGAGTCTGGGAAGATTACCACTCCCCAGATCTTGTATAGTGTGCTGTTGATGTCTCCACTGAATCAGACATTTTCATGCAGTGTGGAGAAGTCAGCTGGGAGCAACTATACTGGTATTCTTTGCAAGGAGGATACTGATTCTGAATGGATGACTTTAAAAGTGCACAGAGAAAAAAAATACAGTATTTATTACTTCATCCATCCATCCATCCATCCATCCCTCCTCCTGTCCATTCATTTGTCCATTCAAAAACTATCTGCTTAGTGAGTAGTCCATGCAGGTCACATATACACCTGACTGGTACTCAGGCTGTGTAAAGGGGGCGACCTCAGGGTGACAAAATGTTCCAGCAGCACGAGCAAATGCCATTCATCCAGCACGTTCTCAACTTGTTGCATTGCCAGATGTCTGTGTCTCTTGAGGTGCTGCCCTACATCTGCCCTTACACCTGCTTATCCCCAGGAGCGGGTTCAGAATCTCCTGCCTTGCTGTTGTTCCCTGCTCCTCTCTGCAGTATTTGCATCTCCAGAATTTAAAAGGGCGCCATATGGCAAAGTCACAGCTCTATGTGAGAGCTAGCATGTTGCAAGGAACGGAAAAAGTCAACTTCTGGTTGGGACTTTCCCATCCTTGACATCCTCTGCAGTACCCACGAAGGCATACTCTTCCTCCATGGAAGTTTTAATCAGTTTGTCAACCAGTTAGTAAGTTCACAGACAGTTGCATCTGCTCTTTGGTGTTAGGGGCTGGTGACATACAGAAACAATATTTTCATACACAGGCCCTTGCATTTATCTTATTTTATTTTTTGAGTAGAGGCCCCCGTATTAACCACAATCAACCAAGTGCTTTTGGCAGATCCTATCTGAGGTCCCCTTTCATTTAAGAAAAAAATACCTGCTGCTTATTCGTAATGCACATTAATTACAAATGTAGTAAAATGCACATTGATCACAAATGTATTAAAAACAAATTTGAGCATTTGTTTCTTACCCTGATGGACCTTAGAAAATAAGTTACCCTTCCCAGGGAGTTCCGTCACAGCGGAGCCCTTTGATTTCATCACGGGCAGTTGGGTTTTATTCTCTTCCTCACCTTTCTCTGCCAGCCAACACTTTTTAAAAAACCCAACCCTTAACGTATGTCTTTTCCTGATTGATAAGGGAGTAACTGTTCTCTGTTGTGTTACCAATTTGCACCGTGGAGGGAAATTGCCAAGGGAGACACAAAATCCAGTGTGGAATCACCTGGCCTTTCGCTGTCGTGACTGCACTGGTTCAGCAACCGCAGAGAGGAAAAGAGACAGATCTGACTTTCTCATTTCGCAGGTGGCCATTGGCAGACATCTTCTTTGCCCGCATGCTGGTGGTGCACCCCACTATGTGTGTTTTTGTGGTAATCCCTCTACCCGAATTTTCAATAATTTTTTTTTTCTTCTACAAATGTTTCAATGAGTTGCATGTATGAGAATGAGGTTCTCAGCCCACCATCAGGATGGCACAGGGTTTGACTGATCAATTAGGACCGAATGGTTACATTTGTAGGAACGCTAAAAATCAATTTCAATGCCAGTGACACTTTCCAAAAATCAGTATTATAAGAATTTTCCAGGTGAATAATGAACTGTTGTTTTTGTTTGTGGGTTTTTAAACTGTTTTGTGTTTTAAACTGTTTTGTTCTTTTCCTGTTTGTATTTTCTTTCAAAGTGTTTTTATTTATAAAAACAGCTAGTGCTGTTACATATTATTGTAAAAATAATTTCTTGTGTTACGCATAAAGCTTGTCTTTTTCTTTCTTATGACCATATGAGGTCAGAGGTCACAGATCTATCATACTCTTTTTAACTGAAGTGTGGTATTCATGGGGGAATAATCTTGATTACATTAAACATACCATACTAGTGGGTATTTTATTTCCCATTATTATTACAGTAACGCTTCCACATGCACCCTTATTCATGCTGGTTGTACATATGTACAAGGTCAAATATTTTTGTATACTACAGGATCTTTACTTGATAAGTTTTATGAACTAAAACTTGACCTCATCCATTCATAGTCCCCTTAGAAGTTGTATGTCGGTATTCGCAAACTTATTTTGTCGCTCTAAAAGATTTTAGCTTGTGTTTTCCTGATTACTACTAAGTATTTTATATATTCATTACATTGTATTTATACTTCAGTGAATTGGTTCTTCATATATTTTGCTTATTTTTCTACAGTGTTTTTCTTTTTTGTTTCCTTTATTTTCATTGACAGTGTCCTTTGTTTTCCTTAATTGCTTGAAAATTATAAAATATATTTCTACTTTTTGGAAAATATTTAAGGCCAAAATATGTACTGCACACACTTTGACATATAATTTTTGCATTTGTCTAGAGATAATGCCTGAAAGACAAGAAAAGATATTTTTCCTTCCCTGCTTCTACCCATTCCTCAGCTTCTTACTACCTGGGATTCTATTTTTAGATAACCACTTGGTTTTTGTGAAGATTTCCTATTCCTTTGTATTTCATTGACTTTTGTGTCCTATGACTTCCTCTTTAGTTGCTTTTCCTTTTGCTGCTGTATATTTTTTTTAATATTCCTTTCTGAGAAATTGAAAAAAAAAAGAAAAAAACTCCAATTCTTTCCCTTCTGGAAAATCAGCCTGTACTTTTGCTTCTCAATGAAGCTGGTTGACTAAAAAATTCTAGGCTCGAAACTCTTAGAACTTTTCCCTGGGAAGTTCCCACAGGAGTCTTCTCCTCGGCAGTGTCTCCCCTGGCTGTTGTCACGGGCCGGGCTTCTTTGGGCTGCCTCGGCTGTTGCCCTTCCTCTTGCTCTGTGGCTTGCCAGGCAGGCCCTGCTCTGTCCTGCCACCTTTCCCTCCAGCTGTGGGTTGGCCCAGAGCCTCCCTCTTCTGCACAGAATGCATTCCTGAGTGCACTGGGGGCCTGGTGCTGTTCCTTTATTCTGTTCCTGTGTTTTTCTCTTGTTCTTCATAGTTTGTTATCCCCCAGTAGTGTGTCTTTTTAATTTCCAACATGGCTCTGGATTTTAAAAACTATTTTGTAACTCCTTTAGACATTTGGGGTAAGGAAGGGAAGCCTTCAGTTTGGGGTTTAGTCATGTATTAATTTGCATCATGATGGTTTCCCATCTTTGGTTTTTTAAAGAAAACTTACAATTGAGCAGATAATTATACTAGAGTGTTCAGTTCAAAATTTTTCTCTGAAATTCCACTTTGAGGAAACCATTTAATAACATACTAACATTGTCAAGTTAGATACCTTTTAAAGAAACTGGATTCCAGGTCAGTTGAGTTTTTCTTTTAAATGTACTTTTAAAACACATCCGTCATGTTTAAGTACAGCTTCAAGGAGTTTGTCTTCTTTCCACACTCTTTTTCTTTCGTGAAACTTTGTAGGTAACTGAATCAGCTGAAAGTGTGGTGCTGTGTGTTTCACCCTTGTAAGTCAGTGATTTGCCATTGGCTGTGGTCATTGCATTTAGTGTGCTACTGTTTTCATGTCAATAACAGAAAGCTATTGGGATCTCTTTCCTTTGTGAGACGTTTCTCTTTCAATCCTTCCCGTTTGCAGGCATCTTCTGTGGTGCCTAATGAACCCCTTGAACATAACAGGCATTTAATCAATGTTGGCTGAATTGATCTATTAATACATGCATGGGTCATATTATATTAATGAACAGGTTGGACCACATTTGCATCAAATGTGGAAAATATTTCAGTTAATTAAAATAAGCTAAACATATTACTCTAGCCAAATTTTTTCATATTGTAACATTTTACTGTCTCCTTTGACATTTTTGTCTTCATTGCAAATGAATCTATCCTTTTTCCTTAAATCTGGAGATGTTAATGAAGCTTATAGTTGGGGCTGGGAGTTTAACTTTCCATATTCTCACCAGAGTCAAAATGCCTCACAACATTTTTCTAACTGTCCCCACCTGGTGCAGATGACTAAGGGTATTCATGCTGGGAAACAAGGTGTGGACTATTCCTTCAGTGGCCTCCCCCTCCCTCCTTGCTGCTCCCTCTTCCCCTTCCCCCTCTCTCTCATTTTTCTCTCTTTCTTCCTTCCTTCTTTCTCTTTCTTGCTGACTCATTTCTGTACACTTTTCTAGGGATTTTTATAGAGGTAAGGTGGGTCCAAGGCAGGGAAAAATGGGAAATCACAAGGTGGGCATGAAGTGGGACAAAACTATTGTCAACCAATAAGATTACAAGTATAATTGCTCTGGTAGTACTGATTAGATCAGAACCAGATGGTTCACATAGCAAGTGGGCATGAATACAGAAGAGGGGCTTTTCCTGGAGGGATGGGTCCTTGGCTCTTCCTGGCTCCCTTAAGGTGATGATACCTATTTAGAATATCAATCCCTGCTGTTTATCCTTAGGCAGGTATGTGGGTGCATTTGTTTCATCTTTCCTCTTGAGGTCTGGCCCATAGCGGAGGTGTCTGTCTCCTCCACAGTTGCAAAGTATCCTATCTTCTGCACTTGGCTTCTCTGAGCGCCCAGCCCTCTCGGTCTATAACATTTTCCCCTGGCTAAATGGGATCATTAAAGAGGTGTGAACTTTATAGTTTAATTTTTAAATATATTACAACTGTGATTTAAATCTTCCTGGAGGAGAGGTTCTTTAGGAAGTGTTAATATGACATGCACTGTTTTAAGTAGGTGGTAAATATACTTGAGAAAGGTAGTATTCCTTTGGGTCATATCAAAACAGGTCCTCAACCCCTCTCACTAGTAGCTAGATACTCTAGAGTGATAGCCCCCCAGCAAATATAAGGTGGCCATTCACTTGATGGTTGAAGAATGGTGCAATTGCCATACACCCTCAACTGTCCCAGGTGCTGAAACTGACTTGGTTCTCCTGTTATTTATATCAATTTTAATGTTCTACTTTTCCAACATTTAGCCTTTAA